AAATGTACCCATTTCTTCGCTTTTTAGGTAGAAGATGCTATTTTCCACCAAACTCAGTTCTTTTCTACATGATACAGCGCAGACTGGGTCCACTCACTCAGCTGCAGGCCTCATTTCCCAGCTGTCCTTGCAGCCAGCCCTGGCCATGTGTCTGTTGTTGTTGTTATGTGCCGTCAAGTTGGACCCGACTCATAGCGACCCCTCCTTGGGTTTCTGAGGCGGTATCACTACTGAAGTAGATTGCCCCATCTTCCTTCCGAGGAGTGGCTGGTGGGTTTGAACCGCCAGCTTTCTGGTTAGCAGTCAAGTGCCTTAGGCACTGCACCACCAGAGCTCCTACCTTCACAGAAGCAAAGCCCAAACCCAACCCAGTGCCTGGAGGGGATTCTGACCCACAGCGCCCCTAGAGGACACAGTGGAACTGCACCACAGGGTCTCCAAGGCTGTCAGTCTTAATGGGAGCAAAGCCCAAACCAAAGTCACAGCCATTGACTTGACTTGACTCATAGCCACCCCTCCTTGGGTTTCCGAGGCAGTATCACTATGGAAGTAGGTTGCCCAACCTTCCTTCCGAGGAATACCTGGTGGGTTTGAACCGCCAGCTTTCTGGTTAGCAGTCAAGTGCCTTAGGCACTGCACCACCAGAGCTCCCGGCCATGTGTCTAGGGGATACAAAATATCTGACAAGGATAACACGGGTACTAACCAATCAGAACTGATATCTGGCCAGTCAGAATGGACTCCAACTGTAACAACCATTTTGGCGGGTCTGGCCATGTGACCACTCCTCACCAATAAGATGAGAGATGGGCCTCTCCCCATGACTTGCTCAAAAGACAACTACCTTCCCCCTTCCCCTAAGATCAAGAAAACAAGGATGCCCACTTTCACAAGAGCCATTCACCGTTGTATTGGAGGGTCTAGCCAGAGCACATTAGGCAAGGAAAAGAAATAAAAGGCATCCAAATCAGAAAAGCAGAAGTCAAACTGTCTTTATTTGCAGTGAACATGATTCTATTAGTCTCTGTGGAAAATTGGTTGGCAGCTCCTAGCTCCTAAAAAGTTAAACATAGAGTTACTCATACCAGAAATCAATCCTTATTGTTGCTGGGTTGATTCTGACTCACAGCAACCCTACAGGGCAGAGCAGAACTTCCCCGGAGGGTTTCCAAGACTGTAATGTTTGTAAAGCAGACTGCCACATCTCCTCCCGTGGAGCTACTGGTGGGTTTGAACTGCTGACCTTTCAGTTGGCAGCCGAGCACGTAACCATATGACCCAGCAATTCTATTCCTAGTTATATACCCCAAAGAACTGAAAATAGGGCCCAAACAAATAATAATACAGCGATAGTCATGGAAGCATTACTCACAATAGCCAAAACGTGAAAACAAGATGGCCATCAACAGACAAAAGGGTAAATAAAATGTGGTCACCTCATACAATGCCATAAAAAAAGAATGAAGCTCTAAGACATGCTAAGACATGGATGAATTTTGAAAACATGCTGAGTGAGAGAAGCCAGACATAAAAGGACAAATATTGCCCTCCTGGTATTTGAAACACCAGTGGCCCAGATTCTAGCATCACAACAGCACTCGAACTATGACTGTAGGGCAAACTTCACATCTATATTAAAAGAAAAGAAAGAAACAACCAAACCCACTGCCATGGAGCTGATTCCAATTCAGAGCGACCCTATAGGATATAGTAGAACTTCCCCATAGGGTTTCCAAGGTTGTAAACCTTTATGGAAGCAAACCACCTCATCTTTCTTCCTCGGAGCCACTGGTGGGTTCGAACCATCGACCTTTCGGTTCGCAGCCAAATTCCTTAGTGCTCTAGTCCTGCATTTTTCTTTTGAATTTAAACAAGTGAGAAGTTCAAGCTCTAAAAACACAAGAAACTTACCCAAAGCTAACCAACCATCACACGTGAATTTCCATTACATCTCATTATCTTGAATGAGGCAGATGCTTAATAAACACATAGATGAATAAAGTTCTGCCCGTGATTTTTTTAAGGACAAATATTTTATGATCCCATTTATACGAAACATCCATAGACAAACACAAAGAGACAGAAAGTAGATTGGTGGTTGCCAAGGGCTTGGGGGAAGGACGAATGGGGAGGCAGTGATTAATGTATACTGAAATTCCGGTTGGGGTGATGAAGAAGTTTTGGAAACAGCGATGATGGTCGTACAACTCAGTGAGTGTGATTAATGCCACTAGATTGTACATCTGAAAATAGCTAAAATGGCAATTTTTATGTTGTGTATATTTACCACAATTTTCTTAAAAAAAAAAAAAAAAAGTCAATGCCCTCGCAAGATTAGCTAGGAACCTTAGGGGGCAGTGAATTGATGTGAATGAGGGAGGGACAGCTCAGAAGCGGGGGAGG